TGCAGAGGCTGCTGAGACCTGTCCAGGCGAGGTCGAAACTGCAGTCACCCCCCACCTGGATGAAAATACCTTGTGGGAAAGCAGTGCCATGTGAAATTCACCGAGAAGATGAGGCCTACTCGGGTTATTGTGGGAAAATGCAACTACCTTAAACGAAACGGGCTGAATACAGCTCTTGTTTTTGAAAAAAAATAAGGCAAATTTTAGGTCGTTTGGTTTTACCCGTTGGGTAAGCATATTGCAGGAACTGAAACATATGGGATTAGAAAGAAAGTTGACAAAATCTACCTCATTTAATATGAGATATATTCACCCTATTTTGTCTAGGGTGATGAAGGACTGGTAGAAGAAGAAATTTCCCACAATGATATGAGTTGAGCTGACGTTTCCATTGAATTTCACATAGCCTTTTTGGGAAAGCAAGGCTATGTGAAATTCAATGAAAACGTCAGCTCAACTCATACCAGTGTGGGTTAATTTTACCACCAGTCCTTCATCATCTTAAACGAAATTGGGTGAATACATGTCATACTACTGATTTACTGGTAGTCTCGAAACTCTACTCCAATACGAAAATACCTCATTTAATGCCATTTTAACGCATTTTTCTGTTTTTTTCCCTCACGGCTAAATCAGATCTATCCCAATCGTGGTCACAACTTTCTGGACGAAGAGGACACAGTACTGGAGGATGAACTGCCTGTCGGAAGTTTGCCATGGCCTGAAGGGCGTGAGAAGACGGAGCTCAATCGCTCTTCAAATCTTGGTTTGGGCGAAAACCGTCTCTTTGACGAATCTGTTGATTCGGGCGCAAAAGACCGGATAAGTCTTGACTTACCCTTGAAACTGCTAGACCCTACCTCAGCGGTTGCCAACCGAGCCGTTCAGTCGTTTGATCATCGTGGAGATGCCCACAATGACCGGCTGAGCGAGCGATCCGTGAAGTTGCTGCGGGCAAAAGCGGCATTTCTCAACCGAGTAACCGTTTTCCTGCTTGACTGTTTTGCCAGAAACTCGGCACGTTGGCATGAGTT